GGAAGAGGAACAGTTGTAAGCAGATACTGGTGACTGGGACATGGAATGTGAGAACCATGAATGTAGGAAAATTAGATATTGTTAAGGAAGAAATGGAACCCATAAATATTGACATACTAGGCATTGGTGAGATGAGATGGACTGGCATGGGACATTTTGAGTCGGATGACCATATGATTATTATTATCTTATGTATAGCTGAAGGAAATATTTCCCAGTCTTACATTATCCTCACAATTTTTGCTGTGGTTAAGGCTGCAGTTACAACCACTATGTCAATTATCTCATTGAGCGTCTTCTTTTAAATTGACCCTCTACTTTGCTAAACATGAAGTCATCTTCAGGGACTGGTCCATCCCGATAACATGTCCTAAATATGTAAGATGAAGACTTGCCAGCCTCACTTCTAAAGCTAGAATTCTGGCTGTATTTCTTCCATCTTTGTTCATACTTTGTTTCATCTTTGTATTTCTCCCAGCTTTGTTCGTTTTCTGAAAGTTCATAATATATTCAGTATTCTTCACCAACAACATAATTCAAAGGCATCAATTCTTCTTTGGTCTTCTTTATATATTTTCCAGATTCAAAGGCAGAGGACGCGACTGAAAATGCCCATGCTTTTTGGCCAACTGAGTCCTCAAAGTGACATAAAGAATGACATTTAGAAGACATGTTTAAAAGAACCGTTAATAGTGGTAGTCCCTGGGAGAGTAGAAACTGGGCAGGATTCTAGAACTTTTATAATTCTTAGACTTTAAAAAAATCCATTACCTTTTTAAAAGTAAAATATGATACAGCTATTATGGCCTAGAGGTAAGAAGCTGCGCTGCAATCCTAAAGGCAAGCAGATTGAACTCACCAGCTGCTCCACAGGAGAAGGATGGGCAATCTCTTCTAGTACAATTAACTGCCTCTGAAAACCTGCTGGAGGGTTAGCTATGGGTTGGTTCTGACTACATGGCACTCAACAACAAAAATTATTGCTGTGTACTGTAACGGTAGAACCGACCCATAGCTGACCCTCTGGTGGGTTTTCAGAGGCAGTTAATCGCACAGGAGGAGACTGCCCATCCTCCCGTGGAGCAGCTGGTGGCCTCAAACAGCATGCCTTTGGGATTGCAGCACAACTTCTTGCCACTAAGTACCAGTGCTTTATTCACTGCCATGGAATAATCTTCATTATATTACGTAAACAAATCAAGTTTCAGAAAAAATAGAAATAATTATTTATGAAAGCAAAAACTTTTCCACGGCTCAACTTTTGGCCCAAAACCAGACAGCCATAGAAGGTGACCAGGAATCTCAACGAAGCATTCATTCCTTAGAATAAACAGTAACATACGGTCAAAGCATTTGCTGCGATGGCAGGAAGGGGTAGGACAGAGCAATTGCTGGAAATCAGAATTATAGGGAGGAAGTGTGAAAGTTCCTTTACATGGTGGTATTGTAAGTAACGTTATAAAGCAAAATATGTATGAATGACTGAATGAAAAAACAATCTGCTTTGTAAACTTGTGTAAATATGAAAATGAAGTTATAAATCAAATTTAAATTAATTTTTCTTTCCCCAACTTCTTTCTTCTAGGTTAATAAAGCAAGACAAATAAACACTTACCTTTAAAAGAAGCTCGCCCCAAATTTGTAATCCGGAAATTATGTTGTATCTCTTCTTCAGAATTAGTAGCACTGTCTCTTTGTAGGAGTCCTTTATCTGTCAGGCACTGAAGGGACTCCTCGGTTATTTCCCAGAGACTTTTTTCTTTCAACAAAATCTTTTCTTGAATCCCCAAAAATGTGCCACTCATAAAGTGATATATGTCTCTCAAATTTGTTGCAATCTGAAACAATTAGAAACCTCAGTCAAATGTTTTCCTTAATACAAGGTTCTTTGAAGGCACACTGTCAGCCGTCAAAGTTATTGAAACAAAAAACTAGTGAATAAGCCACCTTAATGCACATCTGTTTTCATAGTGGCATTTTACAATTAACAATAAAAAATACAACTTAAGGAACAGATGAGTATCAAATTCCTATGTTTTGTGAAAACATGTTTTTTTATTCACAAACTCCTTCACACACTGCCATTGGATTCACAGTGACTGTACTTCCATGGAGTTCCTGAAGCTGTAAATCTTCACAAAAGCAAATTGCTTCATCTCTTGCCTGTTAAGCAACTGATGGATTAGAACCACCATACTCTTGGCTAGAAGTCCAATGCTTAACCCACTGGGCCACCAAGGCTCCTACAAAGCTCCTCAGCTTTTTAAATAATTTGCCATATTATCTACAAATCTGTGTTCTCTCAGTTTACTTTCTGACCAATTACCATTAACTCTTGTTCAGCGTCTGAGAAAACTGCTCTTTCAACTCTTTCTTTTCAATGTGAAAGCATCTTTTAGCTCAAAAAAGAATTATTATACTGAGTAAAATATCTCAGTCACAAAAGGACAAATACTGCATGATGCCACTGTTGTAGAAAGTGACTGACATCAGGGTTGGGGTAAGACTGAGAAAAACTGGATAGATTATGCATACTGAATTGAAACAGATGAGGGAGAGAACAGCTTAAAAGTGATATATAATAGCATATTACGATTATCACAGGAATCCAGAATTAAGGTTGCATAGTGGAGTGCATTTGGGGCTGGGGGGGCAGGGTCGAGGTCAAGGGGATTGTATACTAATGAACAAGTTTTTCTTTTACTTTTCAAAGAGAGGAGTGAACTGGGGGGAGGAGGATAAAGAAAAAAGTGCAAAAATTAATGAATGAAAATCCAAAATCTCTGTAAATGTTCATTAAAATTAATAAAATAAAATTTTAAAAAATTATTAATCTTCTTTTCAGAACACTGACTCCTGTATATTCTGCAAATACGTATGTAGAGATCTCCTTTGGCAAACCTGTATATAGTTGATTAAGAATTTTTCCCCCTTGTTTTCATTGATTAATAATTTATTTTTTTCTTGTTCCTGTCAAGTCGATACAACTGGCACTGGAGGGGATTGACCCTCCTTTTTCAGAGGAGCATCTGGTGGATTCGAATCATTCGCCTTTGGGGATTGCAGTGCAGCTTCTTGCCACGAGGCCACTAGAACTCCCTTCAACTCTCTCTTTCTATAAGGTTGTTCTGTATAGATTAACTTCCTCAAGACCTAGTCTGCAGCAAGTCTAGTTCACAATACTCCCTGAAGCATGTGCATAAACACTATTTGTAACCAAGAGCTGACCTTCCCAAACAAGAAGTATAGCTATCTACCAGCCAGGGGAATCAAGCTCGAAGATTATGCTCCACGGTGCATGTGCATCACTCCATAGTAGGTCCCAGAAGCCTCTGCAACAGACCCCATGTTGGAAAACCAGCTGTGAGTGTCCTCAAATATTAAAACCCTTCCTATGTGGGCCATTCCTTGAAATTCTCCATATTCCCTTCTGAATAAACATAAAGCCCTTCTTAATGGAGGTAGGTGTGTTGGTGACAGTGAGATTGGCTCAGGATAGGACAGGGTTCAGAGTTACTGTACTTAGGGTTGCTATGAGTCCCAGGTGACTCAATTATACACAACAACAAATCTCTTTATAAACCCCCAAATTATTTTGTTCAGTGAGTCATGGGCTAGTGTTGCTTTGGCCCACCATCTCTCCTTCAGCAAAGTATTTTCTCTTCTAACCCTCTTTTACTGCTTGTATAGTAAACTCTGGACTCCTATTTTGCTATCCTTACTTAGCAGGAGGAAGAATTCAAATTTAAGGGGTAATCTAGAGATAGGCTGGTCTGATAAGCACTTGTGTAACTCTTGAGACTGAAGTTTGCAGACACTCTTTAAGCCTGGAAGTGAAGTTAACTCTATAGACCAACTTTCAGTTGAACAATAGACAGGTCTATGAAATAACCACTTAACACCAGAAACTAATACAGTCCTCTATATGATTAACCATCTGAGTTCAAAAGGGCAGTATCTGCTCACAAGCTCAGAGGGCAGGAAAGCAGAATGAAGGGAAACAGGACACCCAGGGAGAAAAGAGAAACAGTGCTGTCACATAGGAGACTGCAACCAGTGTCTTATGAAACACATACAAAAGAAACAGTTGAATGGCAAACTAATAATAAACTATATAAACTTTTACCTAAACTATAAATAGGTATGTTGTTGTTAAGTGTCATCAAGTCAAATACAAGTCATAGTGACCCTATGAGAACAAAAGATTTGAACCTTGTTCTAGAATTATCGTCATTTCTCTAAAGTTCATATAGTTTCCAAAGGCTTGTTTAGGAAGTGGATGCTAATCCCGATTGCAAGCCTGTCTTAATCTGGGAGCTCTACCAAACCCTGTCGACCATATGTAACACTTATAGCATTTAACACACCAGTGGCACAGCATTCAGCATTCAACCGCAAGTTACCTCAGTACAGCAAACTAACAGACCAGTGCTGTACCAATTAGAACAATGTTCTTCCCAAATACAATTAACCCAACTGACTTTTAAATACAAAGGCCTGCCTTATTAATAGGTCCTGATTGACTTAAACAAAAGGCATCCAGCCCAAAGCTGATTGTAAGCTAAATCCAGGTGACCAATCAGCTTTCACATGATTGTGAATAAAATAAAAAATGACCAAACAGTTTACACTTGACTTTCAACTAAGTCAAGAGAACCTACCCTCCAGAATCCAACTGCTTCACAAGTCTCCAAACTGGAGACTTAGTTAGGACCCAAGAGACTTTTAAATATAAAGACCAGGTCCTGATTAACTTAAACAAAAGGCTTCCAACCCGCAAGAAACACAAATATATTATT